CCCGAACTAAGGAAAGTCATCGAGGCTTGCGAACAAGATGAGGGCCGGGCGGGTGGAGGGGCGGGATCGCCGACGTGAACGGGACTGCCAGCGGCATTTCCTTTCGGGATTGGCGGCGACAGATAGCGCCGGCACTTCTGAACTTGGTACAATACAAGTAGTTGAGAACTTCATGTTCAGTATTATAGTTGTATCGAACATAAGAAGTTGAGTACCGTTTGTGAGCCCGGTTAAAAACCCTTAATCCATAACATATATCTAGCGGCCACTGTAGCCTCGGCCGAAACTAGAGGTTCTCATGTGCTGACGCTATCTGTAGTCGGTTTGGTGCCTAGCGTTCCGTCTGTTGAGCTGCGAGATGGTAAATAGGGTAGATATAGGGGATCGGTCTGTTCTGAGGACGGGGGGGCGGGGGGGGGGGGGGCAGAGAGAGACAGGCAGAGAAAGAGAGAGACGGGCAGATGGGGCGGGGGCGAATCAGAGAACTGAAAAACCGTTGTTCGAGCACGCAGGCACTCAGAATGTCACGCCAACCAACAACAGCGTCACCTGTAATGCAAAGTGAACCCCCCTCTGCCCGGTACCAACAACACTAGGTTTGAGAGACCAGCGTTGCACGCCACGCCACAAACCGTTTCTACGAATACCTCGCCCTCCAGGTCCAGCACGTGCTCTCCGGGGGGCGCCGTGGACTTTACACCCTTCGCTCAAAGCACACCATAGATTTTCACTCACAGGCTCGAGCGTTCTAAGGCAACAGATGTGCGGCATCACACGACGGGTGTTGGCAACGGAAGAAAAAAAATCCATCGTGCTCGCTTCGTTGGAAAAGAACATTCTGCTTGGGGGTTGACAGGGACCAAATTCGAGACTACTGGTATGCACCTACCTCTGAGGGAGGCCGACGAATGACAGGGACGGGTGGTACACGTGGAAGAGGTGCTCGAACACAGGGTGAACGCGCTTCGACGCCGGCGCGGTGAGCAGCCCGGAGCCTTCCAAGAACGGGAAAGCGTAGTTGTAGCCGGTGCACCACACCACAGTGTCTACCTGCGCTTTGCAGGTTGCAGGCAGAACGCTCAGTGTGTCAAAAAGGCGGGCCCGGGGGGGAACAGTATGGGCGTCTATCTCAATGGGGACGGAAATAATGACTCTCGCCGGCACGCGGCAGTCCCATTTCGCGCTACGCCGTGTGTTGATGCTAGGCGCCTTTTACCGACTCCACCATTACCAAGGGCCATATAAAACGAGAATATGCCGTGAAAAGAGACGGTGCCAACCCAGTGGAGTGAGCAAGACTCTCGAGCCACGAGAAACATGGCATCCCCGGGATGCGCCCAACCCAGGTCATGAGATAAAACAAAGAACAGCCACCTCAAGGAGCTCTCCATTCTTGAACCGCACTCCGTTGGCGCCCTCGAACTTCTCCAGCGCCGTCCGCCACCAAACGTTGCCTCTTTCTCCGCCCTTGGAGTTGACAGGGTTGCTCCTGTCGCACACGTGGACCGCGTGCGCTGGAACAGCATGGAACAACAGCAACCCCCCCCAACGGAATGCGTACGCGTGAGCATGACGAGCACAAAAGCTGTCGAAGGAAGGTACGACGTTGTGCGGGTGAGACGGGGGTCATGCGGACGTGCGGCGAGACAAGCGACGTCAGTACATCAACCTCAACAACACGCGGCGCAACACAAACTTGCAAGTACGTGTAGCACTGCTGCAACACGCGAACGGTGTTTCAAGCGGGAGGAGGACAAGCGTGAGAGCCCATGATCTACGTCCCCTTTGTACACTGCCTAAGCTCTTGCGAAATGAGAAAACTGATGTACTTCTAGAAGATAGATTAAGCCTCACCGACGGAGGAGATCTCGCGCGCGATGTCCGTCCCGCTAGACCTAGCCCCGACGCACAGCACCCTCTTCCCCACGAACGCCTCAACGCCCGGTATGTCGTACTCCCTGGCGTGCATGACCGTCCCCTGGAACTCGTCCAGCCCCGCAACCGTCGGTGTGTACGTCTCGTCGAAGTGCCCGCTGCAAACGCAAACGGCGTCGAACACCTCCGCCACGACCTGGTCATCATCATCAGCAACGGCAGCCGCAGCGGGAGCGCTTCTTCGCCGGTACACCACCTCCCACCTCCCGAGCGTTGTGCTCTCCACCTCCGCCTTCGATTGCCCTTGGTCGATTCCGCCCCCGTGCCGGCCTGCAGCAGCAGCAGTGTCGGTCCCCGTCACCGCTCCCTCCCCCAAAGATGAGTCTTCGCTGCTACTCAGACTGCCGTCAACGCTGCCAAATGTGTGCGAGGAATCCCCGACGGAGGGAAGACTAGCTAGGCGGACGGATTCGACGGAGCATCCGAGGCTGATGAGGGGATGCAGGTCGTGTTCGTCCGCGTAGGAGCAGAGGTAGTCCAGCACTTGGGCGTGAGAGCTGAAGGATTGGGTCTCTTCTGGGAAGGGGAACCCGAAGTAGGACATGGTTTCTTTCGGCAGGTTTGTCACCAGGCTCCGGTCTAAAACCTCAGTCGTACAGGAGTCAAGGGAGAGGGGAGGTCGGAGACAGACAGATACAGTGGGGGGGGGGGA